GCAAGACAAACTATGTATAGTCAAAAATTAATTTTGCTTTTGCCTGGCCTTAAATCTTGTCGACAAGATCTTAATTGGGAAGAGATRTAACAAGCAAWAATGGATAAWARTTGAAGCCAACTCTATAACCAGCACTGAACCACAATTGAGATGGAWGAGGCACAGGGTACAGCTATGGTCGTTTTAAACGTATCCTTTGCCSTCATTGGGACATTTGGGAACATTTTAATAATCTTTGCCGTCTTAAAAACACCTCAACTTYGTCAGAGGCCRTCAAATTACCTTATTTTAAGTCTTGCTGTAGCAGATTTGATAGTGACACTGGTAGCACAGCCATTGCTTATTGCAATAATACTGAAGTCATTTGGCAATCGGTGCAGCGTTRGAGTCCAMATAGCGTATGTRATRGCAGCGGCCCTTTGTAGTGGTAGTTCTGTAAACCATTTGGCAGCCATAAGCATCGAYAGAGCRATCGCAACGGTTAAACCCCATAAATACCTCACCATTATGAAGAAGTACTACAAGATAATGCTGTCTCTCTGTTGGGGAWMAACTTCGGTGGCTACAATTTKCTRTWTCGCTATAGTTGTGGTCAAGGGAGGCGAAAGCGGTGCTCTGACCTYAAGCATYTTCAATGTMATGTTCATTGCTATAGTTTTTTTCCTCGTSAYTGGTTCATACGCGATTATTCTCTACAAAATCAAAGTCCAGAGAGTCCAACAARCTATGGGAACRACGTCATCCGMGGCRCGTAATAGAGCCATGGAAAAAAGAGTTTCTGGAACTATMGCWATTGTTATCATTYTTTTCGTCGTTTGCTGGTTACCGCATCTTGTATACAAAKCATTGMACACTCAAACKTCTGTGTATTGYAWRTTTGATTCAACGCTCATGTGGACTCGTTTGCTGTACTCGGYYAACTCCTCCGTGAACTTCATCGTTTACAGTTTGAGAATTCAGCAATTCCGTGCTGCATTCTTTAGAATCATCAAAAGCATGATGCAACCATTTCAGACGATCGTGAGAAAATGTCTTCGCAAAAGTCCTGGGCAACAAAATATGCAAGCAGCACCGAATACTGCTGAGCCAAGAGTGCGACTTGATGTGAAAGACGCGAATGAAATAATTCAAATCCAAGCAACTGATCGGTGAAACAGTGAAACCATGTTGTGAATTGTTTCTTGCTGGTTCCTTCTCGTATTATATAACTTAATTTCGCTCATTACCAACTCGTCGTTATGAATTCCATTCTGTACAGTGCAATATTGGCGTTATATCGATAATATTGTAAGGCACTAAGTTTAGACTTAACCATGTTTTTTTTAAGAAAAAAAATGGTTGCCATGACAATCAATCTAAAACATATTAAAACTTTAAAAAATACAATATACTTTTTTAATCTT